CATTTATTCTTTAAATTTTTTAAACAGCTTTTCAGCGGTTCAGAGAGTTTGACGGGTTATATGATGAATTTATCATGCGATTTATTCATTTATAATGAGTTTTGACTGTATGATTCGTATTATTGAGAGATTTTATCAATCGTTATAGGGAATGCACAAGCATGTTTCCTGCTTCCACTGAGAACAACCTCTCGCGCTTGTTTCAGGCGCCAGCCTGAGCAGGTAACCAGCACGCTGGCAACCGGCTTTCACTGTGTACGTACCCATAGAATACAGAAGCCTGTTCATACAGGTTTTCACTGTGAACACTTACATTATTATCCTATGTTCATTCTTGTGGCAGGTTGGAGCAGGTTGCCCGCGCGGGCAAACCTGCTTTCACTGTGTGCGTACCCTAGCATAGAAACAAGTTACTGGGCCAGAGGTACCGAACATGTGAGGAGGAAGACCAGGATCAAGGCGGATATTGCAGACCAAGAGCTGTCGTGTCATTATATTCTGGACTCGCAGATCTGCTGGAGGCAAATATTACAGAACACAGGACATTGAAGGAAAATATTTCAGACCGCAGGACATCAAGGGCAAATATTTCAGACCGCAGGACATTGAAGGAAAATATTTCAGACCGCAGGACATCAAAGGCAAATATTTCAGACCGCAGGACATCGAAGGCAAATATTTCAGACCGCAGGACATCGAAGGCAAATATTACAGAAAGCAGGACATCGAAGGCAAATATTACAGACCGTAGGACATCGAAGGCAAATATTACAGACCGCAGGACATTGAAGGAAAATATTACAGAACGCAGGACATTGAAGGCAAATATTACAGAACGCAGGACATTGAAGGCAAATATTACAGAACGCAGGACATTGAAGGCAAATATTACAGAACGCAGGACATGTCAGGTCTGCACACTGGAAACGCTTGCATCATTGTGATCACTCTGTATTCTTCCGAAATGTGAACCGTCATCTGTCAATAACTCTAAAATAACATTTTTTTTCAATGTGCATGTAGATCAATTAGATACCATACATACAGTCATCCAGTTATAATTCGTACAGCAAGTTCTCATCCTTAACAAAAGACGAACAGAAGGAAGCTTTTCTCTTGAGAAACCTCTATGTACGTATTCTCCGCAAGCTGACCGTGCATCTGTGGCAACAAAGCGACCGAGGGACTGAGAAAATATTCGATGGCAACACTTCCATGCTTGAGAATTGTTGCTGCATATTAGAGACTTATTTCTAGTGTCTGTAATTCCTTATGTCTTTTATGTCTTATGTCTTCTGCATCAGCAATTCAATAAGAGAGAACTATGGCTCGCCTCTTATGTCCTCCTTAGCACCACCTCAAAAAGAGAGAGATGTAGCTGCATGTCATGACATTACCACACATAATTAAACATGCAAAATCGATCCAACATGCAAAACTTTGCTCCTCGGCATGTCAATCTTTTTCCGGCATTTGAGAAAAAAACTGTTCCTTTTACCATATAAATCTATATTACCGCTACATTTATACCTGAAATTACCAATGCCATTTATTAGCTGCTTCAGCAAAGAACGCTTCATATCCATCATCCACCGCTGAAGCAACGCGTGTTTCACTCTTTTTAGGGTCGGCACCGCTACAAAATACATATGGCGACAATCTTCCATCCGCGATTTCACGAAGAAAACCCAAAAAAACAGAACCCTCGACCAGAGCCAAATTTCAGTCAAGACTGTCATTATTCACAACACAACCAAAAATTCTTTCTTTTTGGAATGCAATAGCGTTTTCCTTAGACAGTAAAATAAAATTTCAGCGAGAAAAACGCAGATTTTATTTTTTTTTTTTGGAATCCTAGCATGACAGTAGTGGGGTGCATCTGGGAATTTGTGAGCAGTTCTAACCCTGACCTCGAGCGACTCTTTGCCTTTAATTGACTGTTGCTTTTGGTGGGTAGTGCACACTTACACACGGGGCGCTTCCTGCGCTCGCGACAGCTGTGCCGTGCGCGGTTAAAAAGTATTTTTTTAGCATTTTTCCTTCATTTCTACACATTTTAAAATTTTTGTAAATAATCTAGGTAATTAAAAAATAATTAGTGTACTTTTAATCTATACTAATGCTCTAGACTTAAAAAATAATGCGTTACTTTGCCATTTCCTGACACGTCCAGGATTCAAATGTTACTGTCTTTGTTTACACTGTAATTGGTCTAGCATAAACACGCAACAATACAAACTCTGCCATTTCCTACGGCCTGCACGTGCTATTAAGTCACGGAAGTTTCTTCTCACCACCTGGCTGCCTGTATTATTATGGCTGTATAGCTGGTCCTCCGCAGCTGGCTACACTACGAGAAAAATATATAACCCAGTACTCACTGCAGTGAGTGACAGAGAGCGCATTTTCTCGTCGACGAAAACGTGAAGTCACGGACGGACAGACGGACGGACATGACGAGCACAATGCATTTTTTCAATAAATGAGAAAATGCGCTAAAATCAACTCCGCAGCTGGCTACACTACGAGAAAAAAATATAACTCAGTACTCACTGCAGTGAGTGACAGAGAGCGCATTTTCTCGTCGACGAAAACGTGAAGTCACGGACAGACAGACGGACGGACATGGCGAGCACAATAGCGCCTTTTTTTCATAAATGAGAAAATGCGCTAATAAGTGACACTTCGTCTAAATAGCGAAACACTTTTTACACAGTTTAAGTCATCCTGACTCAGTTTTGCTCGGAAAAAGAGGTGTATCGATGTTACGTCGCTCTCTGCTCGTGCTTTGGATAAGAACGTTGATCACTAATCGGACAGTTTAACCCATTCATTTCTTCGAGTTTAGATTCCCAAGTGACTTTTTCTGACTCAAATTTGCTTATTAACACGTTTTTCTTTACTCAGCTTCGCGTTTGTTTGTTTGTGGATTTGTTTGTTAACATTGACAACGAAAATTAGCCCACTTTTGATTGCTCTAGAGATCTGAAATTCGGCATGCAG